CGGCAGATGAAAGAAAGAGGAGAGGAACAGAAAGCAAATCAAATGCCATACCACTTGATCTAATTCCAGAAATACTTTTAAGATTACCGGCCATAGATCTTCTCCGGCTCCAATGCGTTTCTAAACTCTTCTTTTCATTATTGACTGACATAAGATGGATAAAAAAACATGCGATTCAGGCCAATGAAAGTGGCAAGCATCAGAGACTGCTTTCTTGTTTAGGACACGACCCTCCATTTTACAGGTTAAATGCCAGCAGCCAGATGTCCGACGGTGCATTTAAGGAACTTCCTTCTTGTAGCTGTATTAGCGAGATACCGGATCCGGGATAAGATTGGCGTTTGTTGCTGGAACCTGTAATGGTTTGGTTTGCGTGACCAAACCAAACAAGGTCTAAGGAAGAAATTTTCACCTGTAGACGCTAATCTAAGGAATCCCAGCAAGGCCTGTTGCTTGATTTTCATTCTCCTGCTTCTCTCTCCACTGTCCCTTATTCTCTGTTTCATTCAAACATCCCGGCGGCCACAATGTAATACATCCCAGCAGCGACCTCCTTTACCCCATCACCGCTTCAATCTCGTCCTGTGTGTTCACTTATCCTCTCTTCTACCTAAACTCCTCTCGAAGATCCTTCCCTCATTCCTCTCCAATTTCTTTCCTTTGCATATCACGTTGTCTCTCCTTCTCCAAGACGGCTGACCCCCTAACATCGAATTAACCACATCCTTCCAAGCAATAGAGGATCTCTTAGAAATGCCGGTGAGAAAGTAGCTTTCTCGTCCGTCCGATCTCTTCTCTAATCTCACACCCAATAGCTTCGATTCTAACTGCTAGTTGCCCTTTAATAGCCTATTGCCTTTTGTTGTCTTCCAATCTCCTCTCTAATTCCCCCGATTCTCTTCCTCATGCTTCTTGAACTTTGGCTCTCCACGATCTGAAGTTCAGGGTTAATGGTGATGGATGGTCTGTGGTGGTGAAGAGAGCCGACAAAGGAAGGGGAATGGTTCATCAGCAATCAAAATTCGAAACCCACATATCAAATTCCAAAACCCACCTTCTAATTCAATTTGATTACCTTCTGGATTGGAAAATGCAGAGAATTTGAAAGTTGTATGATGGATTCTTTATCCTAGAGTCGGTCCAAGCTGCCTCCTCTTCCTTGTCTCCAAACTCTAATTACCACCCATATAAACTGCTAGAAGGTATAGAGGTAGTTTCTTGCAACTTCGAATGGGAAACAGCAGAAGCACATGCGGAGCAATCGACAATCGATATTGATTACGGGTAGTGTCTTGCCGTTTCCGATGGGAGTTACAGCGGAAGCACAAAAGCCGAAGAGAGGTAGACATAAAACGTTTTTAATGCTTGTCGTTTTGGCCAGCCAAACCTATTAAAGTTACCTTGGAAGCGCAATTATTAATAAATAAATAAATA